TGCATTGGACTCAATGAGAAGCCCTCCTAATGCGGAGCAAAGCCGCAGATCTGCTTGTAAGTTTCGACGTGGTTTCACTATTCACTCAAGTCCTGATAAAAGAAACTCTTGAAATCATCAAAAATAAATACCAACCAGCTAAACACCTCATGGAACTAACAGAACACTGCTTAACCAACACATATTTCATATACAAAGGACAAAGATACAAGCAAATTGAAGGAGCCCCTATGGGATCACCACTGTCACCCGTCATTGCAAACCTGTTCATGGAAGAATTCGAATCCAGAGCCCTGGCTAATGCCACCCACAAACCCAAACTATGGTTAAGATACATCGATGACACATTTGTGATTTGGCCCCATGGAAAAGAAAACCTAAACAATTTCCTAACACACCTAAACAGCACACACCCCAAAATCAAGTTCACCATGGAAATGGAAACAAACAAACAACTACCATTCCTAGATGTACTAATCTACAAAAGAACAGATGGCACACTAGGACACACCATATACCAGAAGAAAACACACACCAACCACTACCTCAACGCCCAATCCCACCACCACCCAGCACAGATAAACTCCGTGGCCAAAACACTAATTGCTAGAACCAAACGCCTGGCAGACAAGACACACATAAAGACTGAACTGTGCAACCTGACTAAAGTACCGTATATACTCGAGTATAAGCTGAGTTTTTCAGCACATTTTTTGTGCTGAAAAAGCCCCCCTCGGCTAATACTCGAGTGAGCAGATCATGCCATGCCGGGAATTTGCATACATGATATTCCTCCGATTTTTTCAGCTTTGCCAGTTGGGAATCGCCCCCCTTTTCCCCCCCCTTCTTCTCCTCCTTCCCCTCCCCTCGGATGCTCCCTGAGTCAGGCATTGCTACCGCCGGCGTGGCTCCGTGCGGCTCCAGTCCCGCGTTGCCTCAGGAAGGGAAAGGCAAAAAGGAAGAGCCGCGGCGGCGCTTTGCAACAGCACCAGAGGAGGCGCAACGGCTCCCAGGTTTCTTCCTCCTCCTGGCACCTTTCTGTCCATGGATACTTTAGAGGCAAAACTTTGCAACGAAGTTCGCTTCCTTCCTGCATTCGCTCCCGCGTCTCCACCACCTTCCCCGCACGCGCTACCCCGCACCGCATGCCAAGAAATCGCACACACAACACCAACACATACACACCCTTCCTTTCCAGCCAGTGGTGTGGAGCTCCGGAGCTGGGCAGCCGCTTCCCTGGTTCCGTGTTTACTTTGCAACTTGTAAACATGGGGGTAATCGGAAGCAGAAAAGTTCTTGCATGGTTTCCAAGGAGTCTCCTCTCCTGTTCCTCACCCCCTCTGTCCCCTCTCCCCCTAATTCCTACCTCCCCCCCCACCTCCGACTCAATAAGCAGCGCTGTTAGTTTGGACTACTGGTAGCAGGTTGCTGGCTGGCTGCTCTTCTTTGCTCACGCTGCTCTTTGCAAAAACAAAAAAACAAAATCCCGGAGCCCTCCATGGTTTTTGCATTTGCAAGGTGCAAAGCGGCAGCGGAGGATCGTGCGTGCTGGAAAGGGCTTGACTGTATTCCGGTAAGAGAGAGAGAGAGACCATAAGAATGGCTCTTGGTTTTTTCACCAGCCCCGGGTGCTGGGAGGCTTGCAAGGGAGAGAGTGACTCCTGCCTCCTGCTGTCATCATCATCTTCTTCCTTTGGGTGGGTGGGAGAAGGAAGCTTTGTTTCCCAAGGCATGCAAAAAAAGAAAGAAAAAAAAATATAAATAAAATGCATGGCCGAATTGTTGGGAGGGAGTCGAGCTGGAGAGGTAGCTGATTCCCATGGTGGCAAATCATCCCTGCGGCAGGCGGGCAGGTGGACTGGCTGGCTGGCTTGGCAAGCGGACGAGCCGAACAGCGGCTTGGCTACCTACCTTGCAAGGCAGGGGAAGGCGGGAGAAGGGAAGAAGACAGGGGCGGCATGGGGCAGGGGGGAGAGGTTTCCGGGGATGCGGACGTGTGGAAAGAGCCAGACGGCTTGCAAACAGAGAGCAAATAGAAGAAGTACCAGTACTGTAGCAGGCTTTCAACGCAGCATGGCCTAGTGCATGCATACTGTTCAAAAGTTTTCAAAGTCTTTTTTTTTTATCCTGTTAGAAATGGATCCCAATAATTCTAATCCTGGACCAAAACAAAAATGCAGGTCATACGAAGGTGGTTTCAAACTTAAGGTTGTGTCAAGAGCAGAAGAGAGCAATAACAGTATTGCAAGTAGGGAATTTTGTGTTGATGAAAAACAAGTGAGGGAGTGGCAGAAAATGAAAGCTGACTTGGAAAAGATTCCAAAGGCAAAAAAAGCTCGACGTAGTTTAACGCCTTCATATGAAGCTCTAGAGATTGAATTGCGTAAATGGGTTATGGAGTGTCGTCAAAATGGTTACTGTGTGACACATATGGGAATTCGCTTATGTGCCCTTCAAATGGCTAAAGATGACAAATTAAAAGCATCAGGCATTAAAAATTTTGTTGTGTCAGCAGGATGGTGTACCCGCTTTATGAATAGGTATGCCTTATGTTTGCGGCAAAGAACAAAGATTTCAAAGAAGTTGCCAAAAGACCATGATGAGAAAGTGATGTCATTCCATTCATTTATCATAAAACAAAGAAGGATCCATAACTTTGACTTGGGAGATATTGGGAATATGGATGAAACACCTATGACCTTTGATCTTCCTAGCAACAGAACTGTGGCAAGTTTGGGAGAAAAAACTATTTTACTCAGAACCACAGGAAATGAAAATAACCATTTCACAGTCGTTCTGTCATGTTTGGCTAATGGAACTAAGCTGCGGCCTGTCATTATTTTTAAAAGAAAGACCTTGCCTAAAAAGGTCAAATTCCCACCACAAATTACAGTGCGTGCACATATTAAAGGCTGGATGGATGAAGACGGAATGAAAAAATGGCTGGAAGAAATTTGGAATGGACGTCCAGGAACAGCCTTAAAGAAAAAACCATCATTGCTAGTTTGGGATATGTTCAGAGCCCACACATCTGATGACATAAAAAAACTGGCAAAGTCTTCTCAAGTTACTTTGGCCGTTATTCCAGGTGGGCTTACATCTGTATTGCAGCCCCTAGATGTGTGTTTAAACAAACCTTTCAAAGACCGTGTGTGAAAAATGTGGCATGAATGGATGTCATCTGATCAAGCCCGATTGACAAAAGTTGGAAATCTGATGACGGCCGACATAGTATTAGTAGCAAAGTGGGTTCGTGATGCATGGGAAGAGATTCCAGAGGACATGGTGCAACATGCCTTCAAGAAATGTGGCATTAGTAATGCTATGGATGGCAGTGAAGACAGCGCTTTGTATGAGAACGACAGCAGTGATGGTGATGACTGCAAACTCAGTGATGACGACAATGTCTATGCTGATAGCCTCACACCAGATAAAGTTGAAGCTCTGTTTGGACATACAGATGATGAGGAGGAATCCAGTTTTGAAGGATTTTAACTCTTGTGTTTTAGCTTGGTTGCTGATTGAGCTAAGGTTTTTGTACTTTTAAAGTTATTGTTGATACCATATTGGTTTTGTTGACTCTCTTTTCCACTTACAGAGCTAGTTTACTGTTTTTCTTTGAAATAAATATTCAAAAACATTTAACCTACTGATGCCTCAATTAATGTAATTTTATTGGTATCTATTTTTATTTTTGAAATTTACCAGTAGCTGCTGCATTTCCCACCCTAGGCTTA